TTTGGGTACGGTGCTAAATCATCTTAATGTCATAGTCAGAATGATCGATGGATTTATAATTTGTTCAATGATATATATATTTGTTGTCTTATCGACGTCCTATGTAGATCTAAATTACCTGGAAATTAATTGACTTGCACTTAAAAAACACGCAAGATATTTGAAATCCAACTTCAAAGTACAATTTTATATCTGCCCGTCAATGGAAGTCGTTAGATTGTTTACCTTATAATCATCATCAGATCAGATCCCAAGCCAGCTATTAAATGCAATATTTATTATGGGACAGACTAAAAGAAAACGATTTCTCACGCAAGGAACGTGCAAGATCCCGCCAGTTTTATATTATTTTTGGCCAGATATAAAGATATAACGCTTGAATTGCCCAACCAAATATTTTATTGGGAAGTGCTAATAAAATTTTGCTGAAAATTTAATTGATATATGTATGTACATAGTAAATATGTGTGTATATAGATGGGGGTGCTAAAAAATACATCAATTTATGAGTTGGAAAATTTTCAGAAAATAAAAAACATTTCACTTTGCCCGCCACACCTTAGAAGTATCAACAGAAATGGCAAGGAATGATTTGAGGAGTCTTTCCATTGGGCCGAATTGCATTTGGGCTCCGTTTCGGTGGATTTAATGACAATTCAATTATTCCATTTGCGGGTTATTGTCACCATTTCATCATTTCATTTCAGAATTTCACATGCAAACAAATAATTACGGCAAATAGGGTTTTGTAGGTGCTGTCGATTGCTGCTTGGAGGGTTGGGGATTGGGATGGGGCCAGCACTTGGACGTTAGATAAATGCCTTGGAAGAGACACAGTTAGACCAATGCTGAGCACTGCTGGGGCTTCTCACAACGAAGGTAGATGGTAAGAATAGTGGAACAAGGCACAAAGCAGTAGACAAGGGTTGTTGCTTTTTAGCCCGGTCAATTGAGTGGGCCTATAAAAAGAAATAAAACACGGGGACCAGACCCCTTCCGACATTACTCGTATATCACCAGAATTGGTCTGACTCATAATTTACGATAAAAGCCCGCTTTTGGGATAGCTACTGGGTACTGGATACTGGAAAGAGGAGGTACTTGCCCCCAAACCAGTTTTGGCAGAAAATTTCCTTACGATCGTCCCCCGGCCAGGCCACTTTTGTCGTGAAAGTCACACGCAACCAACTCATGATTCCATCCATTTCCGATGATTCCCCCAGATATTATCATGCAAGGCTCGCTTAGAATCGCTTAACTCGTAAATTCGTAAATACGTAAATGCTAATTGCAAGTATATATCTGTTTTTTATTTTTATTTTGTTTTGTTTTTAAGTTTTTGTGGCTGTCGAAATGAGCTTTTCGTTATGCATCTCTCTCTCTCTTTTTATTTGCATTCTCTTTCTCTCCTTACTTTTATGGCAAGAAACTTTTTGTGTAAATTTAATGGATGTATTTGGATGACAAAAAGCTTTGTTCGGAATTGTTCTCTGGCTCGTGTAAAATAGAAGGGTGGGTAAAGGAAATCGAGACTGCATCTATCGGGGGAAAAGTTCATATCGCCGAGATTCCAGCGAAAGATCATTATAGAACCCATTTGGCGGACGGCGGACGGGCGTATACTTGCTTCCGGAACAAGTTCTCGAAGACAACTTTCAGCTGGTGCCTGAGCCGGGGCCGTTGGGGGGATAGGATATGGATATTCAATTCAATTGAAAATCATTGGATTCTATCGCAGCATTAATGACCACAATTCGGAGAAATATTTTATTGTTTCGGAAGTAAATTGAAACAAAATAAACTGTAAGTCGCTGGAATATGTTCGGATAAGCAGTCGAGTTTCCCATTGATCGAAAATTAATGGATCGACAGTACTTTGTTTGCCTTTCGGTTATGGATAGAGTTACTTTTCGCAAATTGCAGACGTGTTCTACCCTTCCCTTACCTTCCCTCTTTTTATTTTCCTTTCATTTATTTTTATATTGTTTGCCCAAGTGTGCCGTTTATTATTTTCTTACCCACTCCTACGGGTATTTAGACACCACACTGTCCATTGTTATCAGAGCAGAGACACAGGCTATACATACTACAAGAGAAACGTCGCCCAGGTGATCTTACTTGAAATATTTACAACAGAAGGCAGCAGCACCCAACTTGGTAAACAATCAAAAACAAAAGCTGAGCTGAGCTGAGCTGAGGGATAGAACATCTCTGAGCTAAATAAATAAATAATATATACTACGTACGCCTCTGGTTGAGTAGATACTCATATCTTCACTCGTTTTCTAGCAGGCAAATACTCGCATGATTTCGTATTATAAAAGGAAAGGTGTTAAAAATGGCCGGAAATTTGCACATGCCTGCTAACTTATGAAAGGATCGTGCATGGACCGGACTCGACACGGCCACGGCTCCCTCCAATTCCTCTGCATGACAGGCACGGCGTATACGTGATGTGCATACGTCATGCAGGCCTTTTGTTTGATTTTATGATTCGCACTCCCAAGTTTTCTGTTGACTGTCACAAGGCGAAACGAGCGGATACGGGAGTTAGGAACTTTCCTTTGATAAATGCATTCCACCTGACTTTTTTCTTTATCAATTAAATATAGAACTTTGGCATTCACCGACATTAATGCCAAAAGCTACAGGGCTTTTGACGCTTTGAGCTCAGTCATTTATCATGTGACAAATGAGGCTTTGCCCTGTGTCTTCTGGTTAGATAAGACCCACTGGCAGCCCCTGGCCTTCGGGTCTGCACTTATGTACTTATAAGTCATTTGTTGTTTTGGTTTATGCAACCAACCCTAGAATATTCCCTTCCATCCACTTACCCACCCAAGACATACCACACTCTTGCGGTTTATCTGGAGCGTGCGTCTGCAACGATCCTATCACATGACTACCCACACAACCCGCTTGGCGGTCTCCAGAGTGATTTTACTGGCACGTGACGTTGTTCTCCGAGTCAACATTTGCTCTCACTTTGCGCACGACCGACAGTAATTAAAAAATTCGTATGGTATGAGTACATACTTTTATAAATTATAAACTGCAGCAAACAGGAGAACGAACAGAACGGCAAATACATTTGTTGCCACAGCCGGTTGTTCAGATAAAATTTCTAGGCAAATATTATGAGTATCAGATGAGCCGTTCCGCAGTAAGGACGGACTGTCGAGGCATTTGCATTAATAATATGCTAACTAAATGTTTTAGCAAATAATTCATGGGAGGAAGTGCCTGCCTGATCATAATTTACATACCATTCTGAGCAGTCAGTACTCTCTTCTATTTTATTCCTATACATTCTAAGTTTAAATGCAACAATTTTATACGTGCTCTGTCGACCAACAAATCCCCAATCTTGCAGGTTTAAATCAATTTACTCTCCAAAACGAGAGTTTGCTGATTTGGCAGTGAATGATCATATTATCACAATGTTTATTGTTAATTACAATTTCCATAAATAAAGTCATTGATTTCAGTTCACACAAAGCTCATACGGTTCCCCTAATTTTTAAAATTGAATAGATGGGTGGGCTACAATTCACATATCCTCAAAGAAGGCTTTCATCATAAATGGAGTTCTAAATATTCACATTAAAATGCCAATGCAATGATTTATCACAGTTAAACTTCTGTTTTGTTTGCTGTGGACAAATATTTGGGAAATAGGAAAGGAATTTGATTAGAACCATAATGACCCATAATTATTGTTCAGGGAAGAGTGACAATGACACAAATGGGAATTGAATGAATTGATTTGATTTGATTTATTGTTTCTTATCTACTAACACGTCGCTGGGGGACTTAATGATTTGACTCCACAATTAGTGAACAAATATCTAATGATAGTTCAAATTTGTTCATTGTATTTGCCAGGACCCGCACACTGGGCCAAGGACTATCCACAGGCGTCCGGACATCGCCAGTCGCCCGTGGACATTACGCCCTCCAGCGCCAAGAAGGGGAGTGAGCTGAAAGCCTCCGCACTCAAATGGAAGTATGTGCCAGAGCACACCAAGAGCCTGGTCAATCCCGGTAAGTGGATGCTGGAGAACATCATGCAGGAGCGTAGGCTAATCGAATCAATCTTTAAAGGTTACTGCTGGCGCGTGGATGTGAATGGCACCGAATCGCAGCTGACTGGTGGTCCTCTGGGCGATCAGATTTTCAAGCTGGAGCAGTTCCACTGCCACTGGGGATGCACAGACTCCAAGGGATCTGAGCACACCGTCGATGGAGTGTCCTATGCCGGTGAGCTGCACCTGGTACACTGGAACACCACCAAGTACAAGTCATTCGGTGAGGCAGCCGCTGCTCCCGATGGCCTGGCTGTGCTGGGCGTTTTCCTGCAGGCCGGCAAGCACCATGCCGAGCTGGACAAGGTTAGCAGCCTGCTGCAGTTCGTCCTACACAAGGGCGACCGTGTAACCCTTCCCAATGGCTGCGATCCCGGCCAGCTTCTGCCCAATGTTCACACCTACTGGACTTATGAGGGCTCTCTGACCACACCCCCCTGCTCGGAGTGTGTTATCTGGATCGTGTTCAAGACCCCCATTGAGGTGTCCGACGACCAGCTGAATGCCATGCGCAACCTCAACGCGTACGATGTCAAGGAGGAGTGTCCCTGCAATGAGTTCAACGGCAAGGTCATCAACAACTTCCGCCCACCCCTGCCGCTGGGCAAGCGCGAGCTGCGCGAGATTGGCGGCCATTGAGGTGGATTTGTCGGGGAAATTGGTCAACACAGAGCAGTCTTTGGATAGTCAATGGATTCAAGTCGTATGATTAGTTGTTCGAACCTCGCACCACGCAGCGAGCGTGCACCGTTTAGCGGATAGAATGGGGCTATGCCATGAGCAGGACAAGCACCAGCACATCACATCCCACTGTTCAGTTCTCGTCTTTAGTTCGTACTACTCCCAGCAAGCACACATAATATGTGTCTAACTTTATCTGGTTGCGCGTATGCGTAGCTGTATCTGTAACTTTATCTGTAATGTATTTTCGTTTTTGATTACTTGTTTGTTAAACGTTTGCAAAATGACAATTAGTATAATATTACATATTACATATTATGGTATTACAATCTAAATATAACACACTTGAATGTTGCATATGAAACGAAGGCATATATTTTTTAATTCAATCATACGGGCACCTTTCGCAGAGTTTAGGAATATATGTTCATGTGAATCCTTGGTATTCCGAACCCTTGACTGTAAACATTCCATCAACCGCACATAGGATAATTCCGGTCCCAGTTTGGGTTTCCAGCCTGTTTTAGTGGAGATCTAAGCAGAGATTTTCAAAAAAGAGTGTGAATGGCGACTGACAGTTAGGACTCGACTTACCAGCTAATATCAACACCTTTCTGACTACACATGTGCAATATGAGGGTATTTCAAGTGGTGTCGTTCGACTCGCGTTGTATATGGATTTGTTCAGCCATCAGATAGTATGATTTTTCTATTTTCCGCAATTTTCTGTTGGAAATAAATATAAGATGGCAATTAAAGGGTCAATAAGCTTCCCAAGTTATTGATGCTTACCCGATTGAGGTTTCCATATGAAGGAGATAGACCAATGATTTAGTTATTCAACTTTCGAAGTAAAATTGAGCAGCTCATTGGGCTTGCAGGTCCATTGCAGAAAGTATTCCCGTTTTAATTGGCGCCACGACTGCTGATAGTCCTCACACAAATCCTTGCAGGAAGCGTAAGTCATTTGCTCCAGATCGGGAAGGTTTCTTTGAGACTTCTCACGCAATTCTGCGTGCGACTGTTGCAGATTCAGGAAGTTTAGAAAAAGCTTAAACTTGCTGACGGCTAAGGCAGCTTGAGCGGATCCTAGTTTTTTTTTTGTCACTCCTTGTCGCTTGCCATTCACGGAGATCTCATAGGGCCTGTAGGCAAATAGAGGTGAGACAGCTTTCAAAAGCAAAAATAAGAACCTACCTGAGATCATCTGGCACATGCGACCAAACCAACCCATTGGGCGAGGGCTGCCAGTCACCGCGTTGTGAATACTCAAAGGGAAGACCGCCATCGATGCGTATTTGTGGCTGTTGGGGTTGGAATCGCGTGTTCTTAGAGACCCGCCCTTGCCAGCGCTTGTAGATGGCCCGCTCCAGGGACTCCTGATGCGCCTCACTGCAGCAAAAGTTGAGAGTGCTGAAGTATATGGGCTTTGAGAGCAAGGAGTCGATCAGAGCGCCCTGGACACCAAGCACGCTCCAGCGGGCTAGCTTATCACTACATGACATGGACAAAGTGCGCACACCACGTCCGGGCTTGGTGCGCAGGGCTCCCGGCGTCTGATGCATGTCATCGGATGATGTCATGGCTTCAGACACTTGGCCAGCTATCAGCTTGCCGCCAGTGTAGACCATCTCAGAGTTCTCGTCCAGTCGCTGACGCTTTGCCCTTTGGTCATCTCCCCTTTCTATGGACTCATCCACAATACAAGCGTCCCCACATGGCGTCTGACTGCTGAAGAAATGATACTCCACGTGTTCACTGAGGTCAAAGGAACCACGCTTGGCTTCCCAATGGAAGATACGGTCGTGCTTCATTTCGTGGTAAAGATACCGAAGGAAGGCTCGGCGAGCCAATACTTCAGCATGGGAGTCGTTCAAAATGAATCCTTTCGGGCACTGTCTGGTGTAACCAATGCACTTTGTTCCACATCCAAGAGCCACCACCCGACTATATCTCGTTTGACGGTTGTGCTCCACAACACATGCCAAAACAGTCCATTGGTTGGCCGAGGGCTTGCCGGTTTTTGGCAATGATTTAAATTTGTCATAGCAAAGGTTTGCTATATCCTGAATTGATGGATTTGTATGACACATTTTTTACTTCTAAAGTTGCGTGAACTACCTTTTTACTCTTCGTAGACTTACTCTTCGTGAGTTGGTTTGCTGGGTATATTATCTAGACTGACTAAGCAAGTATTTTATTTGGATGGAATATTTAGTTTACGAAGTACACTATTTATAAGTAGAAAAATTAAAATTAAATACTCCAAATTAATATTTTGTGGCAGCTGTGACTAAAATTTTTTTAATTATTGCGACAAGTAACAGCTGCTCGCCAACCCAGCCCTTGTTGCCGCACTAGAGCTGGAGAAACATCTATGTTAACATCGATATCATCGATTTTTCTCAAACATCGATGTTTTTAGTTAAATAGAATAATTAAAAAATTTTATATTTTAGTGATTAAAAAGTTGATTTTTAATTGTATATACTAAATAATATACATATATGGAGCTGTATATACACTTTTTATATACATAAATTCCCATTTTCAATTCAACCAAGGGCTCCTTCTAGACGGCTTGATGAAATTTTGATTTGCCACGCTTATTATAATAGTTTATTGAAAAAATAATTGTACCCCCACGAATACCTAAGAATAGATTGTTTATTGTTGTTTATAGTTCTTTTCTTCGAACCAAATAACTACGTTTTCGACCATTTTTTGTTGCTATATTCTTATAAAAGTTTTTTAAAAACCCTTCGAGACATAATGGGTTAAGCTACACAACAATTTTAAAAACATCGATGTTTCTCCAGCTCTATGCCGCACAGCTGAGCGAACAACAACAACTCAATATTCATAAACTAAACTAAAATTTGATTAGTTAGCACACGTTTGATAAAAAACAACTAAAAAAATGCCGAAAGTTGTTTCTCGCAGTATCGTGTGTTCCGATTCAAAGGATCAGGAGGAGTACAGTGAAGAAAAGCCGCTCAACATATACTACTGCCTATGCAATAAGATGGCTTTGATTTTGGGTTCGTATAATTAATTTTCTCGAAGCAAGTTAGACGCTAATCTCGTTTCAAAAGATTGCACCCTAGATCAATTGCCACTGCGAGAAGTAGACAATGCCAGAGTAATAAATGCCAACGAGCACGCCAACAAGCTGACCTACAATCCAACTCCAAAAGTGCTCTACATACGCCGCAAGGGTAGGGGGGCAGGCAACGCCATAGAGAAACAGTTCCGGTATAAGGTACGGATTAAAATCATTTAAAACCATTTTCTCACTCTATTTTTACGTGGCAGTGCCGCAGCTGCGATCTTCCACTTTACTACCGCCATAATCCGGACTCCCATGTCACCTTCGTGATTTTCAATGCACTGGTAAACGCCAAGAACGATCAGCCGTTGGCTCAGCTTCTGGGCGCAGAAGCAAGGAGCAAAGCGAAGCTTGCGCCTGCTGCCCCAGCGCAAAGTGCGTCGACAGCTGTAGGTGAGGACTCCGGTATAGTGGATGCCAGTGGAAAGAAAGTAATGGTCACGCGGCACACAAAGAATATGGGCAAGTTCAGCTCGGTGACAGTGTCCACCATAGACGAAGAAGAGGACGAAATTGAAGCGGTAAGCCAAGCAACTAAATGGTCTCGAATACCCACGACATACAAATATTCCACCTCTATATTTATATTTCACAGCGCGAGATTGCCGATAGCTATGCCAACAACGCACGCATCATTGAGAAGCAGCTGCAACGCAAAGGGGGGAAACTAAGCGACGTGGGTGTCAGAGGAAAGACGGAGGACGCGCCTCCTCCGCAGAAAAAACAGCGTGGCACGCTGCTGGAGCGATAGCTACATATTTTTATAAAATATCTCTGTAGAATGCATATGTATGGTATACAGAAGATTATGCTGATAAGAGTCCAAATAAAACTCGGACATTTAAATAATTTCGATCAGTGTTCGTTGGGCATCGACCCTAAAGAATCTCGAATCACAGATTTGAGAAGAGTTCCGGCTTTACTGCTGTACATAGTCTTTATTAGTATAGCATTTTAAAAGCCACCTCGTTTGGAGAGTGTGGTTCAGATCCGCGATTTATAAAGAACACGTTGACAAAGCCACAGTGAGGGCATAGAACACGGGACGTTGCATCGTTTTATTCCAGATTTCCCTTCTCGAAAACGTGTCTCATTCGGTTTGTTGTGCGCGGAGAATTGTAAAAAGCTGTGATGGGCCGGAAGTGGTTTCGCACGGATTTTTTCTTGGCCTTGACCAGATTTTAGAGCTCGTTCGACTCGAGCTTCTGCCAGCTTAATTTTATTCGGAGTTTTTGCTAAATATATCTGCCAGCTTCTAGGCGCAATTTCTTGACGGTATCAACATCCAAGGGGATGAGAGAATAGTTTGTGTTGCTGGTTTGCGACGAAACCTTTTTGCACCCACTAAATTTGTAATCATTTCAAAAACATTATCTAATGTTTCTAATTTGTATTCATTAATTAAGGATCTACCCGAAAAGATAGATTTTTGAAAGATTGTGGAGAAATAAGATGTAGGTTATTTTAATAACTATTTTATTCAAACATCGTTTTTATTTTAGGTATATCGTAGATGTTCAGTTTCTGTTCAACGACAAAATGCTCTTCAAACTGGTTATTTTGTTAATATTTTGTGTGCTCGAACGGAATCCAGCTGAAGCTCGTTCCAGCTCGTACACTCCATGCGATCCACTTTCTGAAAAATGTGTATCATTTCGAAACTGTATTAATTCAAATAATATGAGGAATATCAAACATTGTGCTAGTAGATCATTATGCTGTCCGGTACCAAAAAGACCGAAAGCAGACACTCCATCCTCAAAAGGTTAGTATATGTATATGTACCAAAATAAAAGATTAACTTTAGGATGAAAAATGGAATGTCGCCACCATGGGAACTGATCAAAGGAACCATTGGTGTAACCGAACAGATTTCAACTAAACTAGTCTGATATATTTATTTGTTTTTTTTCTTTAACTGATGAACTCAACTCAAACTCAGCATGTCTAAATTACGCAAACGACAGGACTTTTTGTCAGACCCATTTGTATATATCCCGTTCGAACGAAACAAATCGACATGAGTTACAATACATGGCGCATATAGGACAAAAGGACGAAACGGGCTTTAACTATACCTGGGATTGCGGGGGCACCGTGATACATAGTAAATTTGTTCTAACTGCGGCCCACTGTGTCATTCGTGAACGTTTAGTTGGTACAAAAGAGAAGTAAGTACATTTAGATCAACATCGTTATATCCAAATGTACATAATTATGTATTAAATAACGAAAATATTTTCTTAGAGATTTAGTGGTGCGCCTAGGAGCCCATAATACCACTGACGGCGATGTATATGAAGTAGCTAATAAAATCCCGCACCCCGACTATGATGAAAAAACCTATGCGAACGATATAGCTTTATTGGAATTGACTAAAACAGTCGTCTTTAACGACCAAGTTAGGCCAGCCTGCTTAACAACATCTAGTGGGGAAGAGTATGATAATATGACAGTCTCTGGATGGGGACGATATAGCCGAAATAAAGCCAATGACCAAGCCCCTGAGTTGCGCAAGGCTGAATTAAAACTGTTTAAGTTTTCCGAGTGCCCTGATGTGCCACAGGAAATGTATATTTGCGCTGGTGGAGACAAAAATGGAAGCGATTCATGCGACGGAGATTCTGGAGGACCACTGGCAAGATGGCATCAGGAATGGGGCTCGTGCTTGGGACAGGTATTCGCCGTTGTTTCTCGTGGATCATATTGTCACACTACATCTCCACGTTCCAAGTACACTAAAGTTTTTTATTATCTTCAATGGATTGAGAACGTAGTATGGCCTGTCACCAGAGAAAATACTGATTAATTACGCGTTTGACCAGACGCCAATATTGTATGTATGTATGTATAAGACCATATCTGCGAGAAAACGACAGAAAATGTGCGTGCAGTTCTCGAAAATAAATAATTCTGCTTATTTTTTTGGTTCGGACTATCACAATTAAGGGAGGACTACTTTCGCTGTGACTGATGTTATTGGAGATCGCATATTAATGAATATAAAGTAACATAAATAATGCAGAAATAAACGCCTAGAAGCTAAGGACTCGCTTCCTCGTTCTATTTACGTTCTATAAATTAAATGGCAAATATTATAATTGCATATGGTTTGAAACTTGCTAGGTAGGCTTGCTAGATATCAAATCTATCTCGTTCACCAAGTTCTTTGTTTATTAATATGGAATCTTGTAAATAACCATCTATGATTTCCACCAAAGGATTAGCAAATAAAATATCTTGTATATCTGTACCCTTTGTTCGCTCATCCAGGTACGAATACTATTCACTAAGTGCACATTGTCTAACAAATCGCAATCTTGTGTACTAAAATTTTTTAGTTCCGACAAGGAGGCTACGTAGAGCTCCTTTGAGTGCTGAAACATTGCAAAGATGTTTACCCGTGCAACAAAACGGCTCGCTCTTATAGCTCTTGGCTATTTTTAGTTGTATTATTTTCACAAAACGTTGACTTTTTTCGCGACTGTTAACAACTGCACAGCAGCAGCTGTAACGTGTTATTTTCCAAAAATTTCCGAACTCGAGGGCGTACTTAGGGCTGTCACAAATTGCCTATTTCATGTTTAAATTCTTATTTATATAAATAATTCAATAAAATATTCGTGCTATTGAATTTAAATGCGATTTCAGCTGTTGGTTCCACTATGGTTGCATCAAAATTTTAGATTCTAAAATTTAGGGGGAAACATCGATGGTATCGATAGTGACAGTAGGAGAGAACACTAGAGGTGGAGAAACATCGATGTATCGATGTTTTAAAATTTTTGGAAACATCGATGTTTTATGGCGACTATCGATGTTTTTGCAAGGTAAGTAAAGTAAGGGAAGCGCAGAAGGTATGTGCAAAAATAAATTTATAAATTGAATTATTAACTGTATATAGATGTTTTCAGGTATTCAACTTGTGGTGTAGGCAACGTCGGTGGATGTGTGGCAACATCGTGCGAGTCCGAAAGGTCTTTCAACAAGGCTGGACAGATCATATCGGACCGTCGCACCAGACTTAATTCAATAAAAAAGTTGATGTCGTAGCTAAACTCATGTATCAATAAGAACCAAACCATGTTCTGTTAAACCACTAACCATACAGTATATAGATGTGCCAGTTCATACAACGAAAGGGGCGCAGTTGAGTTTGCAGCGTACGTTCCCAGATCTTCGGCTTTGGGAATGGCCGCGTTGGGCTCATGACGTCACACGAGCCGACTGGCAGCAAGCATGCATGTGTTGTGTACGTGTACACTCCAAAATATATGATTGTATGCATAGAATAATTTTTAGCTGCCGAAACCGATCGGTTTGTTCGTCGGTCGACTTTGTTCGAGATTTCAGTTTACGTAAACGTGTGTGTGTGTGGTCACCAGGATGTGACTAATGGGGAGAGGGACAGTGCGGTTCGTTCTAGCAGGGCGGGCACAGAGGAAAGAAAACTTTTGATAAATTTAAAAACAAACGAGAAGGAACGTGTGAGTCGCTTCTGGGGACGCGACTCTACTTATACCCGTACTCAGTCAGTATATACATTTTTGAGCTTATGATTTTTAAGAATTTTAGAAAAAAAAATTTTACATTTTACATTTTTTTGCTACATATGATATCTACATCTACAAATACAATGTATATTCTACATCTAACATGTAGATTGTACATGTTCCAATTAGATTCTACATCTCCTCCGCTAGGGGTTGCTCGCGCACTGAACGCGGCAGAATGTGCGAACGAGAAGGAAAATGAGATGCGTTGTCGTGGGCGGGAGGGGGAGGGGAAGCAACTGAAAATTAATTTCTTCATTCTGGCTATAATTATGATCCGATCTAGTTCATATTTGGCAATCTGGTAGATATGGGCATTCTCTACGATACTGCGTTTTTAGTTTTATCGTATCTTTAAAATTGTGCCTGCCACAGATTTTCGTCCTTTGTGGGGGCGGAAGGGGGCGGGGCGAAATTCTGAAATACACTTGTAGCAGTGTGATATCACATAAGTCTGGAAACCAAATTTGGTTTCGCTAGCTCTTATAGTCTCTGAGATCCAGGCGCTCATCGAGACGGACAGACGGACGGACGGGCGGACGGACGGACGGACGGACGGACGGACGGACGGACGGACAGACAGACATGGCTATAACGACTCGGCTATTGATGCTGATCAAGAATATATATACTTTATGGGGTCGGAAAATTTTCCTTCTCTGCGTTGCACACATCCACTTTTACCACAAATCTAATATACCCCTTAACTCTTTTTTGAGTACGGGTATAAAAACCCGAGTGGTTCTTGCGAGTCTTGAGTCGAACAGGTACATATCTTGGCGAGTCTTTTGTTTTTGGCGCAAATGCACTGCTGATCTACTGAGAGCATTGTTAACAAATTGAAAAATATTTTAATTAACTCATCTTAGTTTAAAGGCGATTCAGTTGAAGTGCCCGGAATGACCACGACGACCTTACGAACATGAGCAAATCAAAAAAACTAAAAAGGTTCTGTGGAAAAAAGAACACACAGCACAAAAATGTGAATATGTATACATTTTTATAAGAAAACAATAAATAAAAGAAATTTAATATTTTAAAACAGAATTTACCCATGCCTTTTTCATCAAAATATCAAAATTTGTACTTAAATACATCACTTATTAGGGCCTTACTTTTTAAGGGAAATTCATCGCTTATTAAGGCCTTACTTTTCAAGGGAAATTCATCGCTTATTAAGGCCTTACTTTTCAAGGGAAATTCATCGCTTATTAAGGCCTTACTTTTTAAGGGAAATTCATCGCTTATTAAGGCCTTACTTTCGGCACTAACCATACAGTATATAGATGTGCCAGTTCATACAACGAAAGGGGCGCAGCTGAGGTTTCTGTCCCAGCACCCCCAGGTCTTCGGCTAGGGTGCTGGGACCATTCGGCTGTGGTGCTGAGACGTTCGGGTCGTATGTCTGAGACGTTCGGCATTTTTTCGACATGTTCGATTCATGACGAGATGCGAAAGCAAGCTGAGAATTGCAAATGTATGTGTGCAAACAGACACGACAAAATTTTGTATCAATTCTTATTTTCCGAAACCGTTTTGAGTTTGTTTTGAGTTTCGTTTCCAGGTTACGTAAATGTGTGTGTGCCATGTATTCACACATACTGTGCTTGTGTGTGGGCTCTACAATTGTTGGCCGCTTGAATTGGTTTTTCGTTTTGTTTTGAGGGCTGATGTGATGTAGCGACCTATTCAGGGCCGGATCAACCCTCAACCGGGCCCTGGGCAACCATCAATCTGGGGCCCTACTTTATTTTTTATTTTTTTTCAGTGGCTATTATATTTTTTATTCATTATTTGGGGTTTTGTTTTTCAACAAAATTTTTCTGTTATTTCTAGGAGGGCCCTAGGCAACTGCTAATCCGGTCCTGGACCTATTCCCGTCGTAAGACTTCACATTTTCTTGGTGTATTCTGTCGCTCGACTCGACGCGGGTCGAGGCATTGACGAAGCCGTTCATAAAATATTTTTTCGTTTTGTTTTGAAAAGCTGATGTTGAGACGGGTGCGCGGGGTATTTCTTCCATTCTCTTTTAGGCTAGCCTTTGCCTCTGCTTTCGGGTCGACCCGCGTCGAGTCGAGCTATTTAGCGCAAAAAAAATTTCGATATTTTTCGCCCTCAATTCGTGGTGGATTTTCAAAATATGCTCTATTTCAGCAACATGAGCAATTAATGCAGAAACTACTCAGTCTCTGTTTTAAAGATATTAACGAAATTTTGCAGCTCACGGGTTCCAATAATAGGTATCAGAACCGGGATAAATGTATATATAAACGAGAAGGAACGTGTGAGTCGCTTCTGGGGACGCGACTCTACTTATACCCGTACTCAGTCAGTATATACATTTTTGAGCATGATTTTTTAGAATTTTAGAATTAAAAAAAAAATTTATATTTTACATTTTTTTGCTACATTTGTTATCTACATCTCATCTATGTTCTACATCTAACATGTAGATTGTACATGTACCATTTAGATTCTATCATCTCCTCCGCTAGGGGTTGCTCGCGCACTGAACGCGGCAGATTGTGCGAGCGAGAAGGAAAATTAGTTGCGTTGTCGTTTGTTGGAGGAGGGGGAGGGGAAGCAACTGAAAATTAATTTCTTCATTCTGGCTATAATTATGATCCGATCTGATTCAGATTCGGCAATCTGGTAGATATGGGCATTCTCTACTATACTGCGTTTTTAGTTTTATCGTATCTTTAAAATTGTGGCTGCCACAGATTTTCGTCCTTTGTGGGGGCGGAAGGGGGCGGGGCGAAATTCTGAAATACACTTGTAGCAGTGTGATATTACATGAGTGTGGAAACCAAATTTGGTTGCCCTAGCTCTTATAGTCTCTGAGATCCAGGCGCTCATCGAGACGGACAGACGGACAGACGGACAGACGGACGGACGGACGGACGGACGGACGGACGGACGGACGGACAGACAGACATGGCTATATCGACTCGGCTATTGATGCTGATCAAGAATATATATACTTTATGGGGTGGAAAATTTTCCTCAATCTGCGTTACACACATCCACTTTTACCACAAATCTAATATACCCCTTAACTCTTTTTTGAGTACGGGTATAAAAACATATGCATTAAGAGGTAAAAAACATGTCAATCTATGATAAAATCATAAATAATGTTTTAATGGAGCTTGGAACAAAACATTTAACACCAATTAAAAGAAATAAGGTATACAAAAGTACAAACGCATAGAAGAAACTTGGTTGACCAGCAACACTGATGTCACATTTAATCAAAATTTACGTTTAATTCTTTGGCCGTTTTTGTTTGAAACTTATTATGTACAAAATTCAATGAAAAATAGTTCTCAAAACTAGCCAATCCTCAACAAAATTCACTGAGGAATTGGATAAAATTATTTTTTTAGGGCTGAGAGTGTCAACTAACTAATAATATTAAACTGAATATCAATATCATTTAATACGATTTCAATCAATAAAATGAAACGTTAGCCCATTGTCGACCAGGGGGGTA